TAACATTTTTTTTTTTTTTTCCTTATTTAAGAGGTTTATATTTAAGATCTCTGTTTTGGTTGGATTAATTTTTAAATCTGACAACTTTCCATATTCTTTTAGAGATTTCATCAAATTTGGCAATGTTATCCTTGGGTTACCTACATAGAACAGCATGTCATCTGCATAAACTGCCACCTTATGCTCCATTTCTCCTACCAAAATTCCTTTTATATCTATATTATTCGTTATGGTAGCCAAGAGAGATTCCAGAGATAAAACATATAACAATGGAGACAGAGGACATCCCTGTCTTGTTCCGTTCTGCATCCCAATAAACTCTGATAATTCCCCATTAACCATAATTGCTGCTGAAGGTTGACTATATAATTTCCTAATCCATTCTCTCATTCTAGGACTCAATCCCAGAACTTCCAAGGTGTCTAACATATATCCCCAATTTACTCTATCAAATGCCCTTTTCAGCATCAATCAAGAGTACCAACGCAGGAGTATTCTCTTTCCTACTTTTTTGTATGAGAAACAAAGTTCTCAACCCATTATCTCTACCTTCTCTCCCTGGGACGAATCCTACTTGATCTACATGTATCCATTGCGGCATTAGGTCTTTCAGCCTATTTGCTAGTACTTTTGCATATAATTTAGTATCTGTATTTAATAAGGAAATCGGTCTATAGCTTGAACAGTGAGTATCATCTTTACCTTCATTACGTATGAGGACTACGTGGGCCTGCAGGGATTCCCTCCTCATTTCCATCTCTCCACCCAAAGCATTCATATATATATTCAATTTAGGTAGTAATATTTCTTCATATTTTTTATAATATCTCACTGTATACCCATCAGGTCCGGGACTTTTCCCAGCTACAGTACTTTTTAATGCTTTTTAATGCTAATTGAATTTCTTCCTGAGTTATTGTTGTTTCTAAGGATTTTAATTGTTCTTCACTTAGTTTCAGTAATCTCGCTTTTTTTATATATGTCTGTCTTCTTTCTGCTATTCTTACTTCATCTACTCCTATATAACCATGGGACTTAATATTGTATAACGTCTTATAATATTCTTTAAACACTTTGACAATACCTTTAGTTGAAAACACTAATTCTCCTTTATTATCTCTTATTTTCTCTATATAATTCCTAAATTTCTTTTTTCTCAGAGCCCTCATTAAATATTTTCCTGGTTTATCTCCCCATCTATACCTCTCACTTATTTTGTTAAACACTCTACTTTTATCTTCTTCCAGAAAAATATTTAACTCTTCTTTTATTATTTTCTGCATAAGCTTTTGTTACTCAATTTTTATGTATTTGCTCTAAATCACATAACTCACTCAAAAGTGTATTTTTCTTCTTCTTTGCTCCTATTGCTATCAAAATTCCTCTATTATAAGCCTTATGAGCTTCCCAAACCGTAGCTACCGACACTTCCCCAGAATCATTTTCCTCAAAGAATTGCTCTATTTCCTTCTTGACCTTCTGCTCTGTCTCTTGATCCTGGAGAAGTGTCTCATTTAACCTCCATACTCTTCCTCCACTCTGCTCATTTCCCCATAGTAATTGCATTGTAACAGAAGCTTGATCAGAAATCGACATGGCTTCTATATTTACTTTGACCAACGACTCGATAAGTCTATGGTCCAACAGTATATAATCTAATCTTGAGTACATTTCATGTGCAGGAGAGTAAAACATATAGTCTATCCTTCAGGTGCTTGATTCTCCATTTATCTACAAGTTGACATTGATGTAACATTTTTTTTCAAAAACCGACTTTCTTCTCTCTGCACAGTAGAGGCCACATCCAACTGTGGATCCATACAAAAATTAAAGTCTCCTGCCACAATCAGATTACCTTTTTTAAAATCCATGAATTTTTTCAAAATATTTTTAAAAAATACTTCCGGTTTCTTATTCGGGCAATAAATATTTGCTAATGTACATTCTATTTCCTGAAGTTTTCCTTTCAAGAACAAAAATCTTCCCTCCGGGTCTACCAATCTCTCCTCCAATTTAAACCTTATATCTTTTGAAAAGCCTATTGCCACACCCTTTGCACGTTTAATTGGGGAGTCTGCATAAAACCACTCTGGAAAATGTCTAGATTGTAATTTCACATTTGTATCTTGTAGTAAATGTGTCTCTTGTAGAAACACCACTGAGGAGAATCCATGCTGAAGTTCTCTAAGAATCCTACATTTCTTCCCAGGATAATTTAAACCTCTTACATCATAAATCAAAAATTAATCTTTTTTGTTCTTCTCTTTTTCTCTCCTCCTGTCATCTCTTTTTCTCCTTCCTCTTTCTCTCCCTCTTCGTTCTCCAGAATTTCTCCAGAACAATATACCTCCCACTTTCTCGCAAAATCTAAGGCTGCCAACTACCCCGCCATACCCTACTCTTACCCCTCCATCCCCCTTTTCCTCATTTAGGCCTTTAGTTTGCCTATGAATCATTTGTGGTTCCAATTCCACCCTAGATTCAACCTGAGGTGTAGCTCTGAACATACACGTTTCCCTTCCCCCGTCCCACCAAAGACAGAAAGAACAAAACTTAATACTTAATCCTTAGTCCTCAAGGGAGCAAGAAAGACCATGGAGCAAACAAAAAAAAAAATCTCTATTTTTCTCTTTCCTCTCACCATCTCCCTCTCTCCTCTAACAACAAAAAACAGAGGAGGGGAACTAAAATATTCAGTAAAGAGAGAGAAAAAAAATTAAAAAAAAAAAATTATATTTAACAAAAACAAAATATTTAACAAAGACACCTTTTGCTCCTTCTTCTCTTACTCCCTCGATCTTCTCTCTTCTCACTCCCCTCTTTTTGAAGCCTGCCACTTATCTTTTTCCAACTCCCACATTTCCTCCTCATTTTCCTCCCATTCTGGAATATTTATTTTCTGCATTTCAAGTCTCTCACAGAAGTCTTTCAGGTCCTCAGGAAACCTCAATGTTGCTGATCGTCCAATTTTTCCATCCGATCAGACAAGCTCGAAAACCCCATCTATATTGAACATTCTGCCTTCTCATTTGTTCAAGTAATGGTTTTAAAGATCTCCTTATCAATGTTTCTGCTGTAATATCAGCAAAAAATCTGTGTATATTTACTTCCCCATATTTTATTATTGCTCTTCCTTTTAAATTTTTCCAAATCCCGATAATAATGGAATTGTTCAATTATATCTCTTGGGTTTCCTTTTCTGCCTTCTTGTTGTTGGAGTCTGCCTATTCTATAGACTCCATCGAGTTTAAACAGCTTGATTAAAGTTCTATTCAATACTGTATCTAACATTTTCCTTATTGTTTCCTGTAGATCTTCTCCTTGGGGGGTCTCTGGGAGACCTTGGATCCTTAATTTGCATCTTCTATCCCTGTTTTCCTGATTTTCAATTTTATATAGCAGATTTCTTTGTTCTTTCCTCATATCTGTTATTCTTTTTTCCAAGACATGTATTACTTGAGCATGTTTGTCCAATTTTTCCTCTGTCTCTTCAACTCTTGACATTTTCTGCCGTAGGTCTTTATGTAGTTGCACCATTTCTTCTTTTAAAGATTTTTCCAGACCTTTAAACATTTCTGCTATTCCTATTTTAGTGGGCAAATGTGAGCTCTTTTCTTGTTCTTCTATATTCTCCAACGCCCTTGTTTTTTTCTATATCTGTATCTTCTATACTTTGGCTAATATTTGCCATTCCTAGGGATAGTCTAGAACTTTCTCCGATACTATTTTCCATCTCACAGCTACCATTTATTCCTGGTTGTCTTTCGGGAGTAAATTTTTCCTGCGACGGTATGTATTTTTAATTGAACTTGTTAGTGAGACCTTTGGACCTCCTCCCTTTGACATTTTGTTTTTCATTTTTTTTTATTGTTAACATCAATTCCTAATCAGCTGGAAGGGTAGGGCAAGAAAAAAAAATTCCACTGCTCCGGAGGAATATCTCTCTTTCGTCCTCTTTTTTTCCCTCCTTTTCTGTCCCGCTCTTTCCCTGCAAATGTACCGTCAGGTTCTGCACCTCTTTCAATTCTTCTATTTCTTGCTTTTATCCTTTAACCACTTCTTCTCTTAATTAAACTTTTTAATAAGCCCTCCTGGATACATACCCCCCCTCCACATTACTTTCAAGTTCGTTTTTATTTCCAATATAAATTCTCACAGTACACTTTATTTCTCCTGCCATTCTCACTCACCCTCTTGGCTGTCACTACTTTCTCTGCAGTGAGGCAGCTTTCAGATTCCTCTTTTTGGGGGGGGGGGGGGGGGGGAGGGTGTTGCTGGCTTTAGTGCACCTTCCTGACACCAGGCACATTCAGGAGGGGGGACACTCCAGAATATCCCAACAGGGTCTTATCCTCTGTCCCAATGAGCCGGTGCATGGGAGACACAAGCCGAAGCTTTCTTCCCTCCTGCACGCTGGCCGGCTTCTCCTCTCCTCTCACTGCTCCTCCACTCTGAGTCACGACTGCTCGGCGTCCTCCCGGCTCCCTCCAGTCACAGGGATGCTCCAATCTCTCGCTCCACCACTCCTCCACTCAGCAAGCTCAAGGGACACGCTCTCCGCATAGGGGACCGCTTTCATATGCGGTTTCCCTAGCCTCCTTCCCCACATGGAGGGACCTCGGTAAGGGTTCAGGTACCGGGAGTTCTCAGCATGAACTCCCGCTTGTCGCCATGTTCAGGCTCCTCCTCCTCACCTTCTCTTTTGACATGCGTTGCCTGTTCCTCATGCATTGCCTGTTCTGCATACACCTTCTGATCAGGCTGCCAGAGAACCGACGGCAGACCTGACTGAATCGCCCTACACACTAAATTGCCAAAAGTATTGGGACACCCCTCCAAATCACTGTAGTCAGGTGTTCCAATCACCTTCAAGGCCACAGCTGTATACAATCAAGCACCTAGGCATGCAGCCTGCTTCTACAAACATTTGTGAAAGAATGGGTCGCTCTCAGGAGCTCAGTGAATTCAAGATTTGTACCGTGATAGGTTGTCACCTGTGCAATAAGTCCATCTGTGAAATTTCCTTGCTACTAAATATTCCACGATCAACTGTTGACGGCATTATAACAAAGTGGAAGCAACTGGGAACAACAGTAACTCAGCCACTAAGTGGTAGGCCAGGTAAAATGACAGAGCGGGGTCAGTGCATGTTGAAGCGCACAGTGCGCAGAAGTCACCAACTGTCTGCAGAGTCAATAGCTAAAGACCTCCAAAGTTCGTGGGGCCTTCAAATTAGCACAACAGTGTGTAGAGAGCTTCATGTAATGGGTTTCCAGGGCTGAGTAGCTGCATCTAAGGCAGGCCATAGACGAGCCGTTTATCGGCCGAATTTTCGGCCGATAAATGAAAAATCGGTCGGCTCCGTTGCCGATGCTGCCACCCATGTCCACGAAAAACGGCCGTTTTTTGAGGATTTTCCAGCATGACTGATAAAAATAAATTCAGAGATCCACGAAAAACGGCGACGGGCTGGCCCCACTAACGGCGTAATTATCGGCCGATTTTTTGTGCAGATGAAAATTCGGCCGATAAATGACCCGTCTATGGCCTGCATGAGCCTTACATCACCAAGTGCAATGCAAAGCGTTGGATGCAGTGGTGTAAAGCATGCCGCCACTGGACTCTAAAGCAGTGGGGACGTGTTCTCTGGAGTGACAAATCAAGCTTCTCTGTCTGGCAATCTGATCGACATGTCTGGATTTGGCAGCTGTCAAGAGAATGGTACTTGCCTGAATGCATTGTGCCAAGTGTAAAATTTGGTGGAGGGGGGATTATGGTGTGGGGTTGTTTTTCAGGGGTTGGGCTAGGCCCCGTAGGGTGTCAGCAAACCAAGACATTTTGGACAATTTGTGAAAATAGTGTGGGGATGGCCCCTTCCTGTTCCAATGACTGCGCACCAGTGCACAAAGCAAGGTCCCTAAAGACATGGATGAGCGAGTTTGGGGGGAGGAACTTGACTGGCCTGCACAGAGTCCTAACCTCAACCTGATAGAACACCTTTGGGATGAATTAGAGCGGAGACTGCAAGCCAGACCTTCTCATTCAACATCATTGCCTGACCTCACAAATGCGCTTCTGGAATAATGGTCAAACATTCCCATAGACACACTCCTAAACCTTGTGGACAGCCTTCCCAGAAGAGTTGAAACGGTTATAGCTGCAAAGGGCGGGGCCAACTCAATATTGAACCCTACAAACTAAGACTGGGAAGCCATTAAAGTTCATGTGCATGTAAAGGCAGGCGTCCCAATACTTTTGACAATATAGTGCATTTGACAGAGTAAGGGGCCTTTTTCTGTCAGCACTTTGGCTCTGTGCACACTAGTGTGATTTCAGATGCACCGTGTGTTGCACAGAATCACATGACAATGGAAATCACATTATTTTCAATGGTGCTTATGCACATCAATGCAATTCAGCACGGTGTTATTTTGGAAAGGGTTCCTGTGATGCGATTCCAGCATGATCTTGGCCCCACAGAATACGCAAACTGCATCCAAGTTGCACTACATAATCTCACTAAAAGTCAGATCAAAATGGGATTGCAGCAGTGTGAACCTAGCCTTACTGAACAGGTCTGTGCATGGCTATGTGCATCATGCAAAGATCATAATGCCTGGGAAGCCAGTGAAGGATGTAGTTTCAGCGCCCTCTGTTGTCTGAAGTACACAAAGCACTGCTTAAGCCAATTACAGCAGTAAAAAAAAAAAAAAATCCCCTGCAAGTCAATATTATAATGTTCTTGTGCTAGTATGCATTGCATAATAGCACATTATAAAAAAAAAAACCTTAACTGAAAATGAGGCCCTGTATGGGCTGCTTTAGGGTTGAGAATTTAGTTACAATGGAGCATTACAAAGATTTGAGATAACCAAGAGGGACCCACAACTATCTGATGTGCAAAAACACCCAGGTAAATCCAATTAGCCCTTATCCTGCACACCTATGTTACTATCAACAGTTACAATCAGGCATCATAGAAAGTACAAGAAGCTCAGAGCCTCTGATTGGTTGATACAGACAACACAGAATAAACTATCATTTTTACAACCTGATTGAATTAGTTCATTTTAAAGGAGCAGTCTGTGACCAATTATACAGATTGTGAATCCCAGTACAGATTCACGATACAACCAATCCACCAACTGCACAGTCAAGCAAATTGGCAAACTCAAACTTGGCCTGTATTATATACCAGTTTTTCAGCTGTCCATACATGTGTCACATTTTGTCTGAATCAGTCAAAATTTGAGCTAAGGGGGGCCCTGTTGACACCAAGCCTGAGAAGTTGAAGGAGACAGTGATTTTTAGGTTTTTAACAGGCGCTGTAGCTGCTTGAATACAATAGCTGGCAGTTCAGATTCCCCTATCCCTGCTGTTTATAGCATGGTTAAAGAACGCTATTGATTTTCCCCCCATTTAACCCACAGGCTGAACAAGGGAAGTCTACGTTTAGTGTATGGAAAGTGTATGGTTAGCTTAACCACTTCATGTCCAGACACTTTCACCACCTTCTAGTCCAGGCCAATTTTCAGCTCTCAGCGCCATCACACTTTGAATGACAATTGCGCGGTCATGCAACACTGTACCCATATGAATTTTTTAGTATTTTTTTGAGACAGATAAAAAAAACTTTATTTTGCTGGTTTTTATTCACCACTGGGGTTTTTATTTTTTTGCTATATAAATGAAAAAGTAAAAAAATTGTGAAAAAAGTGTTTTTCTTATAAAATGTTGTAAATAAATAATCTTTCTTCCTAAATCTTGGCCAAAATGTATTTACCTATCTTTTTAGTAAAAAAAAAAAAAAAAAAAAAAAATATATATATATATATATATATATATATATATATATAACCCAAATTAGTTTCTCGCCTAATAATTAGAATTACATTTTTTTTTTTTTTACATTATTTTTTTTTACATAATGTCACCCTAGCAGTATAGTGTCACCATAGTGACCCTGTACTGCTTGTGGGAGGTGATGAAGATTTATTTTTTCTTTTTTTTTACACTGCTTTTACACCCATAAAGGCTGTAAAAGCAATAATTTCTCCTCCTCTCTGGCTGCATTCTTGCAGCCATTGAGAATACTGTGAGAGCTGTGATTGGTCACAGCTTTCGCATGGTATAAGGCTGTTGTGAATAGCCTTTGTACCATGTGACCTCTGTGATCATTCACAGATTTCACACGTAGTAAGTAATGATGTCAGGAAGTGATATCTTGTTTACTACTATTCATGTGATCACTGATTGGCCAGTCAGTGATCACATGAACCGGGACCTCACACAGAGGTCCCATACAGCGATCGGTGTTCCGCTGTGTCCGGAGCACCAATTACGGTTCCGCACGCTCCCAGGGAGCACGCACAGGCAGTGAGCGCGAGTGACGTTTAGAAACGTCAACCCGCTTCGGCTTCACTCCCGTCTGGCCGTTTATCTACATGGGCCAGACGGGAAGTGGTTAAAGAAAAATTAAATGCAATTTTTTTTTTTTTAGTTTTGGATAGAGTGGAGAAATATTAGAAAGGCTGTCAGGTTTTTATTGCGGTTTGTTAGGGATATTCACCTTCTGTATTTCTTCTATTACGGTTATCATCGAAAGCGAAAGAATCCTAAACTTTGGGTTGCCCCAAACAGTAATAGAAGGGAAATGTTCCAATGGGGACCCTAGTTCCGGTGACAACCAGGGATCCCCTCACTTTGGTGGTATTTCTTCTCACTTCCTGTTGTAGCTATAAGACAGGAAGTGAAGGGTAATCTATCCAATGGGACACAGAAAGCAAAAAACCTTCCCTTACTCCAAAAAAAAAAACCAAAACATCTTTTTAGTTCTACTTTAAGAATTAATTTACTAGTCTATTACAGATTATTTATTAGCAACACATTTTGAAAGAAAGTGTATTGTATACCAGGCAAAACAGTGTTAAACAGATTCAATTCCACTCAAACATTGAGTTACGGGTGAATTTCCAAAAAGCTAAAAGAAGCCATTGGCTGATACAACCTGTCAGCGCCTTTTAAATGCTGAAAACCGTTTTGGATGGATATACTTTTTTATATAAATTCAGGGATAGGTCAGAAGCCTGGAAATTTTATATCAAAATAAGTTTATTTTGAACAGAGTTTAGTCCATGTCACTTCACCAATGCCAGGCTCTACAGATACCCAAATAAAACCTTGATAGTGAAACAATGAAAACGATGCATTTAATCTGTGAAACTGGAGAAAAATATTTTTCAAGGCCTCAAAAAAACCAGGACTATTTTATCTAATAAACATGCTACATCATTTGTATGAGACTGCAGTGGAAGAGAACAGAAAAAAAGTATTGTCATTAAAGTGCTTCTTTTTTGTTTTGAAGACAAAATTTAACAAAAACCTTGGCAAAATACTATACAATTGGCTTTCTTTCTTAAAGGAGGTTCCCTTTGTTACTGTCACATTGTCATTTAGTGAGATGCTCCCAAGAGGAAGAGAAATCAATGCTGAGCCAATCAAAATCTTCAAACATCTACAGTGTCCATTACCAATATGCAGAGAGAGACAGAGAGCCAGCAAAACTACTTCCATGTAGAAGCGCAGTGATAGGATGAGCTCTGAGCGACAGTAAATATTATTTTGTGTTCACAATTATCTTCTAAGAAAATTAGTTCAGATTGGTCAGCCAGTTCCTCAGAAGTCATCATCTGATGTGTCACTGCTACTGGTCTCAGTGTCATCATTCTCATCTGTGGTTGTGAAAGTACTGTGTCTCCAGGGGTCAAATTTTAATTCAAATGAAAGCCCATTTTTCAGGAGACTATTCTTCCTCAGCCCATTCTTCTGCAGCTGTAGAAATATAAAAAGAGGCTGTTAGCAATTCAATATTACCTTGTAGAATCTGAGATCTGTAAAAGCAATTCTTTGTAGTTTGCCAAAAACCCCAATAAGGAACATTCACAGCATGGCACCCTATCCCCAAAATACACTGCTTGGGCCTAGTGACCAATCATCAGGCCAAAACAGTGTAGCATGACGGAGAAACTAACATCTTCCATCCTGTGTAAACTTCCATCTGACACAGAGCTTACAGAGTATTTTTCGGAGTTGCAGACGAGCACTGTAAAGGAGATTATAAGAGTCAGAGGTAAGCTTTAAACAGATTCTGTCACTTTGCACATTTCTGACTTTGTGACAGTCTCTTTAAAAAGTGATTTTAAACCTTACATTTTTATATACTTACCTTCTCTGTCTCCTTAGTATAAGGGCAGGCTTGGGGGGGCCCACAGCAGGTTTTTTTTTTTTTTTTTTTACCCTAATGTAGAGAATGCATTAAGATAAAAAAAACCTTAAGGCTTTAGAACCACTTTAAAGCTGCTGTTCGCCAAGGGTTGAATGCATGTTTTGTCTGCAAGGAGGGCGCATAGTTATCATATTCCTCACTCCCAAAGGATTTATCATAGCTGCACAAATGTTCCCCAAAGCTGCTTCTCTTTGCCACTCAGTTGGTTGCAAGCACTCTGGCATCAGGTAAAAAGCAGTACCAGCAATCCAGAGGGCCAATCACAACCCACAGCATGGAAGAGACGAGCACTGACTACAGGGAGTGCCCAATTGCCAGAGCGTTTTTTTTTCTTCATTTTTACTGGAGGTTTAGCTTAACATACAAAGTTTACCTGCTGACTTATGACCTGGAACTCCCTCATCTCATCTTCTGTTAGTGGTGCATAGATCTCATCGTTTTCACTGTCTTCCTGCCAGCCCATTTCCTTCAACAGCCTGAAAGTCGCAAAGTGACAAAAAGGTTATGTTGGGTCATCTCTTTAACACAAATCTTTTCTATGCCTTCTAAAGAGAGACGTTAAACCTCATTCTTTAAACATTTCTTTATCTTAGCTTTTTAACACTGATCTATATGGAATTTATGAAGCATTTTTAAATTCTTAAACAAGAAATCCTGCCACCGCTGACCTTTCCGTCAGAAAATTGCCCAACTGATGATTACTTTGGGTCACTGACTTGGAACAGGTCTGCAGAAGGAGCTTCTGACTTCCCAGATATGGTTTGCTACATGTTCGTGCCAGGTCAGTGATTTAAAGTATTAAGAACATTAAATCAGCTTTGTAGGGGAGCAATTGACATTTTCGGAACGAGAATTAGCAATGGCCAGGCCCATACTTCCCAGTGTACAAGATTCCTTTAACTCCAGTAAGAGATTGCTGAACACATCCTAAACGGCAAGCAGGCTGCAAGTTTAGACAAGTTTTAGCAAGCTTCAGAAAGTTTTAAAAGAGAAGTAGGGACAAAGCTCTTTTAGACCTTCTCCTGTGGGCCACAGGAGTGCACTTTGTTCTGAACTCCTGTTGCCCGAATTCAGCCACCAGTGTGCTAAAGCCCGCTGTCGGCTATGTCACTAAGTTTGTTATGGTTCTGGAGGAATCTTGACTTTAATTTTGGGATCCACCCAGATTCTTGACTGGCAGCTGGCTCAGCCTCTCAACACAATGCTGAGAGCCTGAGCCAGCCACTCCTGCCTTCTTCACAGTCTGGCACTCCAGGGAGTGCTGGAGGAGCAAAAGCAGAGAGCAGTAATTGACAGTCACCCGCTCTCTGCTCACTGAAGACTGAGAACTGAGCGATCAACCGCCTTTGATTGCTTAATTCTTGGTTTTAGAAGAGGCAGGGGACCAAGGCGAGTATGTAAGTTTATTTTGTTAAAATCCAAAACTTTGCTTTTAAAGGATAAGTTCACCTTTCATAACATAACATGTTACTTTAGTTAAATGTCTATCTGATTTGTTTTACAAAAGTGTGCAGCTCATTAACTATATTTACTCAATGCCTTGACTCTGATGGAGGACTGTTGGTGGATGAGCAGCCATCAATCCACATGAATGTGAGCACAGCCAGTAGCCAGAAAAGAGACTAATCTGCTGGGCCCCCCCCCACTGGTGCCATGAGCTGAATTGGATGCAGTCTAAAAAAATTCACAAGTTGATGTGTGACAAGGCAACACTGATCTGCAGCTTACCTGTGCTCTGCTTCCAGTGAACTTGACAGAACAACCTCCTGAGGGAAAGTAGAAGACCGTGTAATTTGTCTGGAAGTGAAGGAATTTCCGTTCCCCTGAGGGATTTCCCTCTTTTCAAAATTCAAGTTGATGTCATGTTCCTGACAAATGTTTATTCTATTCGAAAAACTGGAAGAATCAACTTCCTGTAAAAACACAAGCACAGATTAAAGCAATTGTAAAAAAAAAAAAAAAAACACACACACAAAACATCTCTATACTTACCTGCTCTGTGTGATAGAAGTGCCCAGGAGCGGCACCGAACCCCACCGGCATTCCAGGTTCCTCCTCTTTGTCCAGTGCCCCCATAGAGCTATTCATGCATGCTCATTCCCGAGTCCCGCTACTGCGTCCATTGACACAGACAGCAGGACTCAGCCCTGCCACCCATTCCCTCGTCACTGGAGTTAATTGACAGGAGCGGGAGTCGATGGCTCCCACTTCTATCAATCTGCCCAATGAGGAGGGAGACAGCGGCGAGAGCCGCTGCTACAGTGCATGTCGCTGGATCAGATCGGGCTCAGGTAAGTATAAGGGATCCTGCAGCAGAGATTTTTTTTTTTTTTAACTTAAATGCATAGAAAGCATTAACATAAAAAACCAAAGGCTTTAGAACCACTTTAATATACATGCAAAGCCATTTTTTGTTCAACTTAAAAGAGTAGTTTGGGCTTTTATTTTATATTTATATTTTTTTCCTATAACTATACTAACCTGTGGAAGCAGCTGATCGCTCATTTCTCAGTCACTGCTGTCTGCTCTGCCCCTCCAGCGCTCATTGTAGTGCTGGGGTGTGGCGGGGGCAGGTGCGGCTGGCTTATGCTCTCAGTGGATCAATAAAAGACTGAGTCAGGTGCTGGTCCAGGCTCCTGGGTGGATCCCATCCATATGATCGTGATCTTTCCCCAGCCTAGACCAGCTCTGTGATATCAACCGACAGCGGGCCTTAGTTGACTGAAAACAGGGAACAGAGGTGCAGAATGAACTGCACTCCTGTGATCCACCTCAGAAGTACAGCCAAATGAGCTTTGGCTGTATTTCTCCTTTAAAGTGGTTGTTAACCTCAGACATGAAATATGAACAAATCATATCCTTCTATAGTGTGTACTTGTCTCAATTAAGAACACTAGGGGGTTTATTTACTAAAGCTGGAGAGTCCAAAATCAGACTCCCTTCTGCACAGAAACCAATCAGCTTCTAACCTCAGCTTGTTCAATGAAGCTTTGGCAATGAAACCTGGAAGCCGATTGGTTTCTATGCAGAAGGGAGTCTGATTTTGGACTCTCCAGCTTTAGTAAATAAACCCCTAAGTGTCATTTCTGTCTGCTGCTCCATTCCTCTGCTATCAGGACAGGTCATTTATGACAAGTTTTCCTGACACCAAGAGAAAAATGGTGATGGGGAGGGACCTCCAGCAGATTGACAGTCCCAGCTCTGTTCCTGCGACCTGTGTGGAGGAGGTGTGTCCATTCCCTCCAATCAGCTCTCAAAGCTCTCCTAACTGAGCTCTGCAGTGTGTAATTTCAGCTCTCCGCCCCTTTTTTCTGAACTCTCAGACCAGCTTTATAAATTAGGCATTTTGAATAGATGTAAAGAAGAGAAGATTGCTGACAGACAGGCACAACTTTTGTAGGAGGAGTTGTTTCATCTCGGTCTATCACCTGAGGCCAGTCATTTCACTGGGTATATGTAAGTGTTTAGATCCACTTTAAATGTAAACGGAAATGGTCAAAACCCTTCCAGATGTTTTTGTCTTTGCAATCTGTGTCCCATCGCTGGGAGATTTCCCTTAATTTCCTTTCCTATATATGCACCAGGAAATGAGGGGAAATCCCTTCTAAAACAGCTGTCACCAATACAAGTAAGGAAGATTTCCTTCCTATTCCTGTTCCATTGACAACTCATTTTTGGATTTTCCCTCACTTTGAGTCCTGATGACAAAGGATACTAGTACAAAAAAAAAAAAGTGACTCTTCCCAGCAGGGACACAGGCAGTAATAAAAGCCTGACAGAGATTCTAATTCTTCCACACTATCTGAAATTAATAAAAAAAACTAACTTTTAGTGCCTGCTTTGCATCTCTCACAAACAAAAACCATGAGTTAATTAATCCTTTTATGCCCAGTGTTAATCAAAACCTTAATGATTAGATCACATTTTAACGTTTTTGGATGCCGAAAGGATTTGAAAAACATCTTAAAAAGGATAAGATCATATTTTAACAAAAAAAATAAATGCACGTTTTTTCGGCAAGTAAAAAAATGTGCATTTATTATTTTTTGTTTCTGAAGCCTCTAAACCATTGCAGCAGCATTGCAGTTCGCTGATGCCATGCAGGTCTCCTGCAGACATGTCAGTGTATCTGTGTGCTCGACATCCCATATGGGGAAGCAGATACTTACTGACAGGAAGACTCAATGAACTACCATGGCGCTCCACAGCGCAAAGGCTGTCGGAACTTGTAGTGTTCTCATGAATATGGGTGTAACATGTTACGAAAGGTAAACTTATCCTTTAAAAATATATATTTTGTATAAACAACACAGATATGGACAAAAATTTGCAGTTTTAATTTTCTATATGAGTAATGAATTGATATACTTTTGCAAATATTGTTATTAATCTTTTTCTCCTCTTTAACTGGAGTACAAGGACCTAAATATGAATAGGTCCTGATACAAACCTCCGCACTATAAAGTTGATCAATGTGTGAATATTCTTCGAAATATTAGGGCTTTTCCAGCACACTGCCTGTAACTATAGCGTGGAAAGACATTTACGATCTAGTAGGGCCATTGTGAATGGGCTAAATAAAAATAAGTACAGCGGTGGTGATAGGAAGATTAACCATGCAAAAAAACATGACTGGTAACCAGGTTGTCACAACCTACCCTGGGGAAGGGACCCCCAATGTGGTCATATTTTACCCAGATATCCCCATCCAGGTGTTTCCTTATGAAAATGTCAGCTTTAGGCATAGGAAAAAATCCTGCAACAGTTTTCTAAATCCTTTACTTATACATGGTTACCTCTTGTACTGAAGTCTGAGATGCATCTGTCAAGTCATTATGAACAGTTTTATTTGACCTGAAGGTTTCATTAGAAGTTTCAATCTTGTTCTCGTCCAATAGTCCATTACTGTTCTCCTACAACAAAAAGAAAACATTATATAAGTTGCTTGCAAAAGGGTTCCCCATCTTGTTGGATACGTAGTTCATTTCTGTCTAAAGATGCAGGCTGATGTCTAGCCAAGATAAGTGACTACATGCATAGTTCAGATGTTCTAATCTGGCAGCTTATGTCTATATTACCATACATAGGTTAGTCTACTGCAGTTCAGGCTTGAAGGAAATCATGAGGAGTGAAGGCAGCACAAATTGGCAGTGTATGGTCACCTTTCTAAGGTATCATACAGGAGCTATATATCATCTAAGGCTCTATTCACACATTTGCAACTCCAAAGTCGTGCGATTTCCATTGCGACTTTGATGCAACTTTGGATGGGTTCAACTTGGCTGTTGACTTTGGCTTTGACTGCTGCACAAATGTCACATTGAAAACATTAATATGCGACTTTACAATGCAGTCTATGGCACTCAAGTCGCATCAAAGTAGTGCAGGAACCTTTTTAAAGCAGCTGCAACTATGTTGCATAGATTTCAACGGCTCCCATAGAAATACATGAGCTTTGGCCTGTCATGTGACTTTATGTGTCCAAAGTCGCATGACAAGTCGCACAAGTGTAAATGGAGCCTAAAATCCCATTGTGTGCAAACTAAAAACCGTTACATCAGTTTAAATAGCTAGTCAACCCAAAGAAAGAATATATTTCTTTCCTGGGTCCCAAATGCTCCGTTTACCCACCAGAAATAAAGAATCGGGCCTCAATCGTTACAACCCTGGCAAACTGACAACACCAGAAATCTCAAGGAGACACTGTCCTGCTCTTGAATGACTGTGGCGTAAAACCAAATCCCTGCAGGACTTCACCCTATATAAATCTGCCCTACTAAAATACCATTCCTCCCTCCATGCTGCCAAACAAACTTACTTTGTCTCTCTTATTATTACCTTGTCATCCAGTCCTCGTTGGCTCTTCGCTACTTTTAACTCTCTGCTTTGTCCTCTACCTCCTTTACCCTCTAAATCACTCACTGCCCAAGAGCTTGGCAATCACTTCAAGGACAAGATTGAAGCAATGTATGAAGACACATCCACTATACAGATATCTTCCCCACTTAACATACCTTGTCCAGCAGCTGCTTCTCAATAAACTCCACTACCTTGGTCTCCGAGATTCATCTCGATCTTGGTTCTCCTCCTACCTGTCACAGCTCTCCTTCAATGTTACCTATAACTCTGTCTCCTCCTCTCCACTTCTTCTTTCTGTAGGGGTCCCCCAAGGCTCTGTTCTTGGACCCCTTCTCTTCTGTATCTACACCTCCTCTCTTGGTCACCTGATAACCTCCTATGGCTTCAAATACCACCTCTATGCCGATGACACCCAAATCTATCTCTCAACTCACTTCACTCCTTCAGTCTCCACTCGAATTACTAAATTAATAACTGACATATTAGCATGGATGTCACATCACTTCCTTAAACTAAATCTCTCTAAAACTGAGCTGATAAAATTTCCTCCCCCTCATGCACTCCTACATGACGTTTCCATCAAGATAAATAACTCAGTCCCTCCCCTCAAGCCTACTAGGTGTAACCAGACTCTGACCTATCCTTTCAACCCCAAATTCAATTGCTGTCAAAAGCTTGGAGAGTTCACCTCCGTAACATCTGTAGAATTCACCCCTTTTTAACCAATGAAACCACCAAGCTACTCGTTCACTCCCTTGTTATCTCTCACCTTGACTAATGCAACTCATAGGCATACCTCTCCATAGGCTATCCCCTCTCCAGTCTATCATGAATGCTGCTGCCTGGATCATCTACCTTACCAATCATTTAGGGTTTGCCACCCCTCTCTGTCAATCCCTTCACTGGCTTCTGATTGCCCAGCAAATTAAAAATATAACAACAACCACATACAAATCCATCCACAACTCTGCCCCGAGCTACATCACCAATCTTGTCTCCAAATATCACCCAAACCACTCTCTCCGCTCTTCTCAAGACCTCCTGCTCTCAAGCTCCCTGGTCTCCTCCTCCCATACTTGTCTCCAGGACTTTGCCAGAACCTCTCCCATCTTCTGGAACTCTGTACATCAATCTGTCCAGCTATCCCTACTCTGCACAGCAGAGAAATACACAGCAGCATGATTCCCAAGTAAAACACACACAGCACACACATAGTAAAAACAGCACAGTTAACCCTCTGATCCCCCCAGATGTTAACCCCTTCCTGCCCAGTGTCATTAGTACAGTGTCAGTACTTTTGATTAGCACTGACCACTGTATTAGTGTCACTGGGAATGTCAGTGGCAGTTAGTCAGTTCCCACCCAGCATCAGAATGTCCGCCGCAGTGCTGCTATAAGTCGCTGATTGCAGCCATTACTAGTATAAAAAAAAAAAAAAAATTTAAAATAACAATTCCAGTATATATACCGCCATTTGTAGATGCTATTATAATATATACTTTAGTATATGTAGTATATACTTTCACGTAAACTATTTACTTTACATGCATTGGGATTTTTTGTTTTTCAGCAGACATGTAGCAGACAAAGTAAAATATATATATATAAATAATTTAGTTTTTTTTTTATAGCGCAAAAATTAAAAAAAAAAAAAAAAAAAAAAAAAAAAAACACACAGTTGATCAAATACCACCAAAAGAAAGCTCTATTTGTGGGGAAAAAAGGACATACATTTAATTTGGCTGCAGTATTGCATGACCACGCAGTTGTCAGTTAAAGTAACGCAGCGCTGTATCACAAAAAATGGCCTAATCTGCAAAGCACACACATCTATAAAACCATATAGTAAACCAGTCTCATACCTGTTCCTTCCAAAATAAGTGTATAAATGAACAAATTCACAAGCAGATGCTGTTTCAGTGAAAATTGCAATATGATAACGGAGTCTGGAGTTCTAGGTACTTCTTGACTTTACCTGTAAAAGTCAACCTTTGGACACCTTTTCTTGCCTCTCAAGCCTTACTATGGATCAGTATAAACAAGCACATACAGCTACCTTCCAGATACGCTCTTCTCCCATTTGAGATTAGCGCGAAATGCTTTAGAGACCATCCACAGCTGACAGGTGGATTTTGCATTTTCCTCCTGACCTGCATTAGACTTCCTTCTAAGCTGCATCAACCTGATTCCAGTTGCTTTTGCATTCCCAATGACTTGTAGGAAGAGAGAAGCAGCTTAGACACAAGCAAATGTCAGTCAACACTGCCCCTAATTCTCAGCCTAAAGATGTAGAGGGAAGTAGGAAAGTAGGGTCCAAAATAAGGGTGTCAATAAGCCCTCTAGCTGACAACAAATTTCCAATCCAGCATAATATCCTAAACATCACCTCTTGATTATAATCAACAAAAGATGTTAATCTGGCTTTTTTTCACCATTATGATTCCATTCTAAAAAGTGCTTTTCACAGAAGCGCTTCCCCCTAACTTCTAGTTTTGAAGTACAAGCAATATATAGATACTGCGGTCACATGCACTGCTCTCCTCATGACAACTCTCAAAATCCATTTCATCTGCATACTCCAATGGGCATGCCGATTAGCATTCATTCATGTGTGGTGCAGGTTATGAATATTCTATATCATTTTCTGGCTTGGGTTTAGTAATGTATTCTTTTACAGGAAAGAGCAAAGGCAACAGCCTATACACCTGATTTATTGATCTGATAGGTAGTTTTCACTGAAGGCAACCTGTGTTTATTTTTTTTCCATCATATGCTTCATCACAATGAATTTGAAAATTGGTTGGCAACATGCTTACTTTGAACCACTGCCTTTTGAACCCCCAAATCCTTTTGCAAACCCCATGCCATCTGTGATCAGAAAAGATGCACAGGAAAATATTCCAACATCTAAGTAACAGTGTTGCATATACTGTATGTATCTCAATAAGGAAACACAGGCAGGGTGTTAAAAATAAGTAGTGGGTGAAGGGAACAATGTTTGTTTTAGGATATCTGGCTCCTAGGGCTGCCCTGACCATGCGTACAACCACATTCGCCTGTAACAAAAATTAATCAATTCTGTAAACATTATCTTCTCATACAACAATGCAGTGCATCATATTACCTTAGTAGGACTAGAATCCTTGGCTTCTAGATCCTTAGAGATGTCCATCCCATTCTTCGCGGGTGGAATGCGGGTACTACTTGTTGTAATCGGATACCCAGACAATGAAAAATCATCTTTCATCCCTTTTCTAATGACCAGCATTCGAGAACTTCTAGATTTAGAATTCAAAGGGTATTCTGCATGAAATAAAATTGCCACAAAATACAGTTAAAAATACTCAATATGTTAAGCTTTACACACAGATCTAAAATTCATTGAAAAGTAATCTTGTTTTTTTCCCATGTTGACTTTTACCTTAAAGTATAACTAAAGGCAAAAAAAACTTTTCTTTTTTTACTTTTGAATAGAGTGATGGGGGATTAGAACACCTGTTAGGTTGTTATTGCTGTCTTTGCCCCTGTTACAGAAATTAACCGTCTCTTGGGGACCTGAAAGTGAAAGAGAAAGGAAATCACAAATTTTGGGTTGTCCATAGAAGAGTAATAGAGGGGAAATCTTCCAATGGGTACACTAGTTCTGGTGATTCTGGTGACAACTAGAAATTAAATTTTTAGAGGGATTTTCTTTCATTTTCTGTTTTGGCTATGGGACAAGTAAAGGGAAATCTTCCAATGGAACATAGATGGGAGAAAAAAAAACTGACAGGGGTTATAACACTCCCTTAACCAACACATAAAAATTGCCTTTACCTCTATTTTAACCGTAGTACATTGCGGGCGTGGCCGCTGTAAGCAAATCGACATACAGGTATCCGGCTGCCTACTTCCTGGTTTTGGGCAAACCCGACCCCCTTATACTCACCTTACATAGGCTCCCTTGCAGTACCTTGCTCTGCTGCAGTCAGTGATCTGTTTTGCCAAACTGGAAGAGTGTTGACATCCCTTCCCTGGTCATGTGACAGTGCTCAGGCCTAATGATTGGCTTCTAGGCTGTTGCACTGTCACAAGAGGGGCTATTACATGAATCATTGACTCTGTATAAAGAACATCATTTACATGAATGTGTAATGGTAAAAAACTACACCAGTGTCTCAAGTGCTCAAGGGATAGCGCTGAAGATGCCTTTAGAACAAACAGCATTGAAAGCAGGGCACTTGAGGATGAATTCTACTGATGTCAAGGACATTGACAATATGATGCGATAGAATACATGATTACTAGTGGAATCACACAATGGGGGTTGTTTACTAAATCTAGAGAGTGCAAAACCTGGTGCAACTCTGCATAGAAACCAATCAGCTTCCTGGCTTTATCGCCAAAGCTTAATTGAACAAGCTGAGATTGGCTACCATGCACAGCTGCACCAGATTCTCAGTGCTCCAGTCTTAGTAAATCTACCCCAATGGCTTGTTTACGTTATTTAAAAAAAAAAAAAAAAAAAAAAAAAAAAAAGGATTTAGAAGGAAACGGATTTCAGTGACACCAAAGATAGCAGCCATGGGGCATAGGCATACATGCTAAAATATGAAACTTGCACCTACATTTTCTGTTCATGCATAACAATGGAACTTGCGTTTGTTCGTAAAACAGCACATTTTTGGACAAAACAGAAAACACCCCTTTGGGGTTGATAAAGAGGCAAGTCCCAGGACAGGAGCAGATTGTGGAAAATAAAATAACAATCATAACGAATAAGGATTCCACTGCTGTGTGCAAATTGGAAACTTTCCTAACTTCAAACTGACTAATGAATATATCTCAGGTAACAGATACTGCTCCATTCAAAAATTTAAGAACAGACTCACCCCACACTCCAGCAGAGAGAGACTTGTTTTGGTTCACTTCTTTGTCATGCTCAGGATTTAGAGAAGGCTGTAAAACACACACATTGATACAAAAATTTAAACAACCAAAAATAATACAATACACATACAATTAAATACAAGGAAACATATTAGTCATTAAAAGTAAATCAGTTACAGGTATTTAGAGAATGGATAGTGTTTTTGTATGTATTTTGTTTATCATGGACACGACTATTTTTCATTTGTGTTGAGTAAAACTATATATGAATATTAAGCGGTTTATTATCCAGCCAGCCTCTAGGCTTCTTTTACTGCATTTCTACCCATTACATGGATTTTCCCACCATCAGAATACAGTGATCAGTGTTGCCAGCTATAGTCAGCGCCACTGATTGAGCGGCCAAAATTCAACAGGGCGATCAGTAGATCGACTTCTGTACAACCACCTTGCCCATACATGGATCAAAATTTGTCCAGTCCTGGCTGAACCTGCTGAATTTTGATGCATGTACAGCTGGCTTCAAGCTTTTCTTAAAGTGAGGTCACCTCTACTGTGATATCTCTTTAAACCATGTTTTGGGAATCCACAGTTATGTAACAAAATGTTTATTTGGTCCTTTATGGACATGCTAAACATAACATTGAAAACATTTGTCTGGACGTCCCCAAGCAGTGAACAAGAAGGATGGGCAACAATGAGGCAAACAATAACTTACCAGGATGTTTCCAATCTCCACCAAGAGACAGTTGAAAAAACGGGTACAAAAGGGAAAGTATCTGCAACCTCAGGAGTTTTAACCGAGCCAAGGCTGGTGAAAGTACTCATAGAAGCAACATGCTGATTCTCTAAATTCAAAGAAACTTCTTTAATTTGGGAGTAATAGCAAGAGACTGCAACTCCTCAGGGGTAAGCTCTTCAGTCAAAAGACTGTAGCGACTCAAAATCAGACTGACTCTTGACCTAGGTCAGAAAAGGGTGTGGGAGCAAGCATGCCCTCTGCGATCATAGCAAACACCTGTGTGATTTGGGCCAAGTCCAAAAAAGTCTTGAAGGACCATGGTAAACACCTCAGCTGAAAGAGCAGAGGACCCAACCACATCCAACAGAACAGACTCTAGAGAGCAGAGTTACAGAAGTCTCCACTGTCAGAAGACACACTGCAAGCAGCCCCAGAGCTAATAGTTGAGCTGGTGCCAGTGGGACTCTCCCCCACCATCTCTACGACCAGACATGTTGCAAATGCACAACAGTAATCCAATATATAAGCTTAGGGCAAGAGGAAAGGCCTCAGGTACTCAAGAAACCCAGACAACTGGTAGTAGGTGATGGTCGGATGGCTGGAGATGACCAAAGTCACTGTAGGCTGGCAGCAGGAAAAGATCAAAGATCCAAGTTTCACAAGGCTCTTTGCAAGCAGTTGCATCAGTGAGGAGATGCTACCTTAATGCTGTATGGCAGAAACAAAAAAGCACATGACACTTCCCCCAGCAAATTATATCAGCCTTCAGCATTAATCTATTCCACAAGAAAACCAGCCCACTCACTAACTGAGTCTTCAAAAGCTAGACCTGGAAACACTTCAGGCTATCCCCACAACATCCAGCAATAAGAGGGATTACCCTGGGCTGGCCTACAGGGTTTTTCTTTTATATTTGTCAGTGTCTAATGCTCCTGTAGGTATAACCTAAAAATTAAAGACGTCCTGTGTCTCTGAACGGACGAGAAAGAAAATACATTTTTTTAGTCAGATAATTTAAAATATCGGTTAGTTGTATGCATACTTTTATTCTGCCAGCAGGTGGAGGTTTTGGCCACACAAGACACTGCCAACACCAAGATTAATGGTTTCCTCACTGTCTACTCACAAAATCTTCAGCTTCAAACTGCTTGCGTTTTTCACGATCTTCTTTTCGTGTTGTTTCATTCTCTAAAGAGCTGCCTTCACGATGCCCATGGGTTTTTACCTCCATGGAATGTGCTACTTCGAGATCGGGAGCCCGTACCATTAGAAGTACCGTTGTGATTTATATTTTCCGATCCATTCCTGCCCTGTGAACGCCACCCATTCTTTTCTTTTCTTCCAAAATTACCTTCAAACAGAAAACATGGCATCAGTAGTTTGTGCTGAGAAATATGTTTTTTTAATAACTAAGAGGACAAATTTTGTAGTATCACAAAGCGAAAGCGTTTGCTGTTCACCAAAATGATTTCAGTTTCTCCTGAAAAATCAAAACTCCACCGAGGTCAAGCACAATTTGTGGTTATTTTGCGGCTCAACTACATACCCAAAGCAGTGATTGGATTGATGGTTCTTGGCAATTCTGCAGAACTTAAACACAGTGGTTCTGATTCACCACTTTGATAAAACATTTTTCAGCAGGACAGAACGTCCTAAAGTAGTCCTAAATTTAACGTTTTTTAAACCTTAAAAAATATGTAAGCCCAACATTTTATATTCCTGATATGTGGCTGCTGTAACATGTATTTGTATGAAAAAGTATCCTGTTCTCTTTGTACTGCTTATTTGTGTTAAATCCTTTGTATTCCTGCCGGCTCCTCTGCTTTCCTAATAAAAAAAACTGACTACACCAGGCATGACAGCACAGCGTGGTCAGTTCTCTACCTGTGCCTGCTCTCCTCCAATAGTCAGACATCTGCTGACATGTCTCTCCCTACACAGCCATTCACTGGGAAGATCAGTGTCCTGCTGTTTCTCCTCCCTGACTCTCTAAGTTCCATATGTAGCTGAGAACAGAGGGTTTGTGATAAAAAGTGGGGGGTATTTATAATGTAATTTATATGTATACACAATTTCTTTGCATTTCATTTCTATTTTAAACTGAATGGGTTGTTTTACAAGGCAAGGGTTTACATATACTTTAATGCATTACCTGTCCCACCCCACTCCCCTCCTGGTAATGTCAGTCAAACTCCAGGGAGTAGGGAACAGGAGGAAGGGTGGTGGGAACCAGTGTTCTGCATTTCCATGTAAGCACACAGCTCAGCACTGGACCTGGAGTGGGCAAGCACGGGTGCCCCTTAGCACCAAACTTGCAAAGGGGGTACCCAAAGAAGGGAAGGAGCCCATAGTGCCAACAAGCACTGCTAGAAGATGACAAGCAACATTTCTTTGCACAGAGCAGGTAAGTGTTAATTCTTTTTTATTTAACCTTTAATGTCACATGCTAGATTCCAATGATGGAATCATTTTACTGTTCTCTTATCACAGCTCTTAGTAAAGAGTAAATATGGGTACAACCGATAAACAGATTTATATTTATTTTTTTTTAAAATAGGTGTGTGTTTTCTCAATTTACTAGGGCTCAACTGCCATCATTATACTCTTCTGAAGTACTAGACTGCAAACCCTGCAGTCTGTGCCTGCACCAATTAGTCACTTCTTTTGTGCCATCATCACACTGTTTAGCCGCTGGACAGCCAATAGGTAGTGCCCACATCACCCACATAGAGAAGGACCCCTCTTACTCAATTAAAAAAAGACAATGAAAAAGATAGAGGACTCATGGCCTGAAACATTACATGACTAATTAAAAAGAGGGTTTTAGGCTAGTTTTTTTTTTTTTTTCTTTTTTTTAACTAAATCAGAAATTAACACGAAGATTGACTATTACAAAGCGCCCGTGGATGTACATGTACCACTAGAATTTACATGTTGTCATTTTTTTTTTTTTTTTTAAAGTACACCTGTCATTAAAGAAATATGGGAAGTGCCACTCCTGGTCATCTGAAAATACAAACTGCCTGCCTGTGTCTGCCTTCAAAACTTTATAAGCCTGCAACAACCATGCAGAAAATGAATTTTATCGCTGCATTCACTGTTAGCCAGTGGCTCAAAAACCACAGATGCCAACATGATGTCAAAGCCAAAGCAAATAGTTTTTCCCCCCTGACTGGTGAGAAAATGCAGCATACATATGCCTCTGACGAGTGTACTGTATTGTGCACACACTGTACTATGATGACAGAAGACACAGAGTGAGAACCGGCAGGTGATAGGTCAGAAACTGTCAGACTTCTGACCCCAATGGCAGCTTCCACATTTCTTTCCCGCAAAAAGGTTAATTTAACCCCTTCCCTCCTGCCCGCCCTGGTATCCACTTTAAATGTTCTCCACATCCAGGGGGGCAGGAAGGATTATGTGAACACTGAGATTGACTGTTACTGTGGTCACATGATTGGAAGCCAGTCCCACCTGCTGATGTTTTCTCGGGGCCGAAAGCCATTATTGTCAGCTAGGTCTTTTGAGCCCACCCAGTGACGCATATGTGTGGAGTGCGGGAGTTAAAGCCCCACTTTTTGCTTCCACACATCTGGGTTACAGGGATGTACAGGAGTTAAAAAGTCAAACTGGAAGACAAATATTAAATATACCTCCATTTGAACGACCAAGAGAAGCATCAAATGCATCGGATGAATTGTGACGTCTGCGAGTTACACCGTAGCGACTGTCTGGACGCACCACATTTTCAGAATGTTTGTCACTGCTTAAAGAGGTCTGCGTGAAGAAACATAAAATACTTCAAATCAGTATTGAAGAGGAAATAAAAAGCAAAACAACCAAACAACCAGATTTCAGCTCTGTAATCATCACTGGGATGTCATATTGTCCACTCCTTAAACTGGGAGCTCAGTGATAGACCAGTTCTATTCAAGGGGAAAGGGTAATAAAAAATGATCTGAAGCAGGTGAAATGAAAACAGACACCTCTGCACTCTCCAAGGAGTTAAATGTATATTGCTGTAATCTCCACACTGTAAATCTTCCCATACATGGTTCAGTTTTTTTTTTTGTTCACCCAGCGAAAAAAAAAAAAAAAAACTGAACCGATTCCCCCCACACATTAGAGGTGGATGAGGGAAATCCTCCCCGCTGCGCTATTGTATTCAAACAGCAATAACAACCTGAAAGTGATTCTAACCACTAAGCCCTTACATTTTAGCAAACATGTCATCAGATAGGTCCATCTAATGCTGCTTTCTGCTCAATTTAGTGCCTATGCAATTTTGTTGACCTCCTCACAAGGTCACTTTAAACAACAAATAAGTGGTCAAGAACATACTTTTAATAGAGCAGTGCTAAATGGGGGTGGGGAGGGGTTTTAATTCAAGCTGTAATGTTTTATTAGATCTAGCTTAGTTATAAACTGTTCTGCACTTTTCTGTGCATTGTTGACCTTCTCCATATTTTATGGTGATACAGCAATACCACCATTCACCAGCAGATGGCAATAAAGATGAAAACTGGAATTAACACCTATCACAGGAATTATGTACACGAGGGATATTGAAATAAAATTCAAGGAGGTCCGGTCACTAAAATTTTCTTCCGGCCGAGGTCCGAATAGGGTGCCCATCAGTGTGCCTCCTTACATTAGGTGTCCCCAGAGTGCAACATTACATCACGTAATGCCATCTCATCAGGTGTACCTATCAGAATTCTCCCCATCACAGTGCCACCTTACATCAGGTATTCCCGCCAGAGTGGCCTCTTACACTCAAAGTACCCCTTTCCATCATATTTCCCCATCAGACTGCCCCTTTCCATCACATGTGCCCATCAGAGTGCTCCTTGCCACATTATGTGCCCATTTGTGCCCCCTTAACATAACATGTGCCCATGGCCGTGTCAAAGGAGGTCAGCATGCATAATTCTGGGATATGACCTCTAAGTTGAGCCGTTATTTGTGTTCTATGGACGTTAATCAAAGTCGATTTCCCAAACATGAAGCCCGTTTGCTATGATTAAGACTCGAATGGCTGATGACTTTCACTGGCTGTATCTCCCTGCATATCATTAAAAAGTAATTTGCTGATCCATAACGTTGTGCATATTTCCTAGTGGACTATAAGAAGCCTGTCTGATCCTTGTGGAAAATGGACAGGATAGCAGTTCAACCTAAAGGCTAGGATCTTGGACATATTTTACAATCCAGGTTGAGAAGCGAGATACACTATATTGCCAAAAGAATTGGTCGGCCTGCCTTTACACACACATGAACTTTAATGGCATCCCAGTCTTAGTCCGTAGGGTTCAGTATTGAGTTGGCCCACCCTTTGCAGCTATAACAGCTTCAACTCTTCTGGGAAGGCCGTCCACAAGGTTTAGGAGTGTCTATGAGAATATTTGACCATCTCAAAAGGTTTTCTATCAGGTTGAGGTCAGGACTCTGTGCAGGCCAGTCAAGTTCCTCCACCCCAAACTCACTCATCCATGTCTTTATGGACCTTGCTCTGTGTACTGGTGTGCAGTCATGTTGGAACAGAAAGGGGCCATGGCATCTGATGCTTTGCATTGTACTTGGTGATGTAAGGCTTGGATGCAACTGCTCAGCCAAGGAAACCCATTCCATTAAGCTCTCTATGCATTGTTGTTGTGCTAACCTGAAGGCCACATGAAGTTTGGAGGTCTTTAGCTATTGACTCTGCAGACAGTTGGCTACTTCTGCGCACTGTGCGCTTCAGCATACGCTGACCCCGCTCTGTCATTTTAGAGTTGCTGTTGTTCCCAGTTGCTTCCACTTTGTTATAATACCACTAACAGTTGACCGTGGAATATTTAGTAGCAAGGAAATGTCACGGATGGACTGATTGCACAGGTGACAACCTATCACAGTACTACACTTGAATTCACTGAGCTCCTGAGAGCGACCCATTCTTTCACAAATGTTTGTAGAAGCAGTCTGCATGCCTAGGTGTTTCATTGTATACACCTGTGGCCATAGAGGGGATTGGAACACCTGAATCCAATGATTTTGGGGGGGGTGTCCCAATACTTTTGGTAATAAAGTGTAGGCCTGTAAGGGTCAAAGGATCCTTATCAGGCTTTTGTAGCAGAATGATTGTTGCATCATACATAGAGTCAGGCAAAAAAAACTGTTTTGAGGGCCTTCTTTTAACCCTTGTGGGAATACTATCTGGATTGGAGGCTTTAGAGCTCAGTATTTTCATAGGGTACTAATTGTGGGTCTGCAGCAAAGACATTTTGAATTGTGACTTTTGTTTATCCTGCATATCCCATAGACCAGTCTTTTTCAACCAGGGTGCCTTTTGAGTTCTTGGCAAAATGCCTAAAAAAATACCCCAAATTGCACCAAAATTGTGAAAAAGCCATTGAGTGCATCAAGCTTTTTTATTACACAAAGCCACAGATTTTATTGTGCAGCATTACAACCTCAGGCACTGCACAGTCCAGCCGCTGGCATCCTAACAACCAATGACATGGTCAGTTGATGAGGATGTTGGATGCCTGTACAGCATTCTTGTTTACCCTCTCTTTAATATAACGTGGATCACATTAGCTGAGTAAGAGAGAAGAGAAATGCTGGAATACAAGTCAGTACCATTGTGCAAAGGTGTATTTGCTTTGAAAGGATCAATTTTCTCTAATGCTGGGTGTCCCATATTTGTGTATGCAGCTACATTATGTAAAACTATTAGTTTTGTTTGCTACATTTTAGAATGGGGTGCCTAGAGACTGTGCATAACTTTAAAGGGGGCCCTGACTGGAAAAAAAGGATTTAAACGGTTGTAAATTTTTTTTTTTTTTTTTTTAATCCAGTAATTTTTATTTTCAATATTTTTAGTAAGTCGAATACAAACAGTACAAGCGTCTCAGTACAAAAAAAAGGAGACATATTACTGAGTAAAAGGAGAAAAGCTGAACGCCAAAAATACACGGTGTAGTAAGTGTGCATTCCGTAGGTTCCACAGAACTTAAAACTGTTACAATTTGTAATTAGCGAGAGGTAGATAGATTTTTGATTTTTTAAAAATGGAACACGTTATACTTACCCTGCTCTGTGTAATGGTTTTGAACAGAGCAGCCCCGATTCTCCTCTTCTCAGGTCCCCCTCAGGAACTCCTGGCTCCTCCTGTTCTCAATGTACCACCATAGAAAGCCGCTTCCTATGGTGACACACCTGCGCGCACGATCCCGAGCTGACTACGTGTGTCTATAGGACACACAGAGCATTGCTCAGTCCCACCCCCTCCTCACTGGCTTTGATTGACAGCAGCTCCCATGACTGTCTCTGAGCCAATGAGGAGGGAAAGAGCAGGGAAAACCTCTGCTCTTGTGCACAACCCTGGATTGAGATCGGGTTATAGACTGTTGATTAGTATCTTCCCACTGAGACATTTGGAGTCATTCCTCTAGTGAGCGCACCCTGTGTTGTGGAGCTTTTTCACATCATAGAAGTATAGGCATAAGAGTATAAATAACAGAAAACTTACAACAGGTTACAGAAAGAAGTTTTACCTTTGTGGAGGGTGGCGGTGTAGGGAAATTAAGCCAGGCTGGAGCAAAGTCATGCTGCGCCATTTAGGTCAAGTCACTTGGCTAAAGTGAAACAAGGCTCTAGCACCTCATTGCAAGTCCCTGTAAAATAAATGCAGTGAGTTAAACCATACCGGTCATCAGCTTATGGAATACAAATGAACCCCCTCTCCTCCCTGCACAGCAACCATCCTCCAATTCTTTCAAGACTCTTATCTGCTCTGGCATAACTGATGCTGCAGCTATTGCATAAAGTTCACACAAAGATCTACCTTTCTGAAAGTAGCTATTTATATAATGCTAAAAAGGTGCGCACTCTATATTCCACCCCTCCCCCCCCCTTCCAAGTCCACACTGCTCTTACCCACTCAGCCTGTGTAGTGATCCAGGGAACTGAAATCCCCGCTCTTCCTGCAGGGCTTCCAGGATGGATAAGAGTGATTCTCTGTACCAGTGCTCTGATCCTTCCCAGAAGGCCTACAGAAAGACGTGGAAGAAGCATTGGGTATTAAAACCCTCTAGACCACTGGACTGGCTGAGTGGGAACTGATCGCTCATCACCCACAGATGTACGTACAGCGAGGATCGGGGAAAGTGTAGGGTGTTCATCTTTTATAAGGTGAACTTACATTTGCTCCCTGGTCTCCTCCTCCCACGCACGACTGCAAGACTTCTCCAGGTCCTCCCCCATCCTCTGGAACTCACTACCCCAATCCATCAGACTGTCACCTTCCCTCCTCACCTTCAGGCGCTCCCTGAAAACCCACCTCTTCAGGGAAGCCTACCCCACCCTCACCTAACAGCTGCTGCCCTTCCCTCCTCCTACCACTCCATCCCCCACAGCCATTTCCTCCTGTGCCTCTACCCCCTCCCTCCTAGATTGTAAGCTCGAAAGAGTAGGGCCCTCTTACCCCTTGTGTGATGTTTGTTGATACTGTACTGTTTCATGTATTGTACAGCGCTGAGCAAACCCTTTGGCGCTATATAAACTCGATAAAATAAATAAATAAAGACATTTAAGCATATTTTCACATACTCCAAAGAAGCCGAAAGGAGACCACAGGCTGTCATTAAAAAAACCCAATGCTGAGAATAAAAAAAGAGGGGCTTTCAAGTCAACATTTCTACTACTTAAAGCTTGTTGAAAGCCTGCCAGCAGCTTGTTTAAAGTGGCAATCAGCTCTTATATTGAGATATGTGCATAATATTTACAAACAGAAGTTGAAGGGCACTTTAAAGGCTACTTGAAGCATGGTGAAAGCTCTGCAAAAACTTCAACTGTTCACATTGCTCTTATAAAAGCTGAAGCCAATGTGAAACAGGCCTTAGTTTCCATCCAATGCTGCCCTGAACAGGGTTGAACATCATGCCTCGAGGTCCAAAAGTCTGGGGAAATATTAGAGATACAGTGGATATAAAAGTCTACACACCCCTAATGTAAGTCTAACACACCTTTAATGTAACCAATAAAATGTACAACTCAGTTGAACAACAAACTGAAATCTTTTAGGTGGGCAGAAGTAAAAATAAAAAACTAAAATAATATGGTTGCATAAGTGTGCACACCCTTAAACTAATACTTTGTTGAAGCACCTTTTGATTTTATTCCAGCACGCAGTCTTTTTGGGTATGAGTCTATCAGCATGGTACATCTTGACTTGCCAATATTTGCCCATTCTTCCTTGCAAAAACACTCCAAATCTATCAGATTGCGAGGGCATCTCCTGTGCACAGCCCTCTTCGGACCACCCCGCAGAGTTTCAATCGGATTCAGGTCTGGGCCATTCTAAAACTTTCATCTTCTTCTGGTGAAGCCATTCCTTTGTTGATTTGGATGTATGCTTTGGGTCGTTGTCATGCTGATAGTTGAAGTTCCTCTTCATGTTCAGCTTTCTAGCAGAAGCCTGAAGGTTTTGTGCCAATATTGATTGGTATTTGGAACTGTCCATAATCCCCTCTACCTTGACTAAGGCCCCAGTTCCAGCTGAAGAAAAACAGCCCCAAAGCATGATGCTGCCACCCACCATGCTTCACTGTGGGTATGGTGTTCTTTTGGTGATGTGCTGTGATGTGTTGTTTTTGTGCCAAACATATCTTTTGGAATTATGGCCAAAAAGTTCAACCTTGGTTTCATCAGACCAGAACACATTTCCCACATGCTTTTGGGAGACTTCAGATGTGTTTTTTTTTTTGCTAAATTTAGCAGAGCTTGGATGTTTTTCTTTGTAAGAAAAGGCTTCCGTCTTGCCACTCTACCCCATAGCCCGGACATATGAAGAATACGGGAGATTGTTGTCACATGTAGCGCACAGCCAGTACTTGCCAGATATTCCTGCAGCTCCTTTAATGTTGCTGTAGGTCTCTTGGCAACCTCCCAGACCAGTTTTCTTCTCACCTTTTCATCAAATTTGGAGGGATGTCCAGTCCTTGGTAATGTCACTGTTGTGCCATATTTTTTCCACTTTATGATGGCTGTCTTCACTGTGTTCCATGGTATATCTAATGCCTTGGAAATTCTTTTGTACCCTTCTCCTGACTGATACCTGTTAACATTGAGATCCCTCTGATGCTTTGGAAGCCCTCTGCGGACCATAGCTTTTGCTGTAGGATGCGACTAAGAAAATGTTCGGAAAGACCTACTAGAACAGCTAAACTTTATTTGGGGTTAATCAGAGGCACTTTAAATGATGGCAGGTGTGTACTGATTTTGAATGTGATTGCCTAATTCTGAACACAGCTACACAACCACATTATTTTAGTTTTTTATGTTTCCCCCCCCCAAAAAAAAAAAAAAAAAAAAAATGATTTCAGTTTGTTTTCAATTGGGTTGTACAGTTTATAGGTCACATTAAAGGTGGAAAAAGTTCTGAAATTATTTATCTTTGTCTCATTTTTTTGCATCACAGAAACCTGACATTTTAACAGGGGGGTGTGTAGACTTTTTATATCCACTGTAGGTAAGCAGGTACACATATACACATACGCTCATAGACAATGCTAGGGTCCATTAAAATGGGCACAGCATACAATAGAGCAGATTGACTACTTCCATACACTTAGGAAGTGGGTACAGAGAAGGCTTTATAATCCACTATACCCAATGAGAGGCAGAACATAGGTGCAGCATGCTGTTGAAGTACAGCTACATGCTACTTATTGTAGAACAGCATGAACAAGTACATATCCAGTTACTAATCGATGTCCAAACCCCATAAAGTAACCAAAAAAAACAATTTCACTTTCCCTGAGACAAATCCTCCATTTGTGTCCCACTTGCCCAGGAACTGCAGTTCACAATGAAGGGGGGGGGGGGGATTCAGCAACAATATTTATTATTAGCAGAGTAGTGACATTTAGTACAGTTTCTAGTCGGGGGAACAGTGGGAATGGCGCTATCCCTCCACTGCCACGTATGTTACTGGAGGAGTCAGCAGGGACCCCGATTTCACCACAAGCACCTTGTTTCATCTCTACAGAGGACAATCACTGGGACAATTACATAGAAGGATTTTCACATTTTTCTATGCGTGTTTGAAATTGCCAGCACTTGAACAGTCTGTGCTACATTTTGAATGAACAAACTCTTTAAGTAGATGCTGAAACAACGTACTCATCACCACGGGGTAAATTTATTAAAAGGAAAAAGTTGTTCATTTAGCAAAGTGATCACTAGGGACAGCAGAGAGCCTGGAGCATGCAGAGTTCGTTCTCTGTGCTACTAATCACAAGACGCAGCAGAACAGAGAACTGATCACTCCTTTTGTTAATGAGCAGCAGCATCTGCTAGATTTTGTATGTTTAGTAGAGTAGTGCAAGCTTGTGCTTGCACCACTCTTGTCAATTCCCCTCAATTTATCCAATCAAACTACACCAATCAATACTGGACTGTGTGTGGCCAGCTACTCCTAGTCCCCAGAATTGGGAACAGGGAAGTGCAGAAGAACAAGCAACCTGCAGCCAAAGAAGCCTGGTGCCCCATGTGAACAAAGCCTTAGAGCAGGGGTGTCAAACTCCAGCTGTTGCAAAACTACAAGTCCCATCATGCCTCTGTCTTTGGGAGTCATGCTTGTAACTGTCAATCTTGCAATGCCTCATGGGACTTGTAGTTTGGCGACAGCTGGAGGGCCGCCAGTTTGACACCTATGCCTTAGAGAGAAAACAGAATTCTGTTGAGTCCAGGGGCACATTAGATACTCTGAACATGTCCAAAACGCATGTGAACACCCATATATTTAGACACAAAAGAACTCCATCTGGAAACCATAACATTTGCCTATACTTCCCAGATAATTTCTCCTGTGACCACAGAGAAAGAAAGTGATGGAAAGTTGTCACTTGAACCGGAAGCGAGGGGGAAGTCTTCCAATGCGAACACCAGGTTCAATGGCTGAAGCTGCCCTATCCACGCAGACTTCTTTCATTCAGTCTGCAGGGTGAACTAAATCTGAGCCGTGGGTGTCCATGCTGGCACCTTTCAACTCAGCAAGTCTATAACACAACTGTCTTTTGTTGGAGGAGCCAGATGTAAAATCATCAGCCGAACAGCAACCAACCAGATGCAGGAGCTGTTTGGGTATTCTGACACCCGCAGGTACCGACTATCAGAATAACAGAATATATGGACAGGTTTAGTCACCGAAACAGGTGACCCCATTGGAAGATTTTTCCCTCACTTTCAGTTCCAGTGACAACGTCCCATTACCTTCTGTCTGAGTGGTCACCCTGACATGCCCTCAGTGGGGGACACACACTGATAATCACCATCTAAAAGGGGTTCTAATCCTTCTCTAGTCTATCCAAAACTGAAAACATTTTTATGTGTTTATATATAAATACTATTTTGTGTAAACCTTCCATGGGTGTTCCATCCAGTCTGGCAGACCCTCCACACAGTACAGCCTTCATTAGAATAGAACTAAAAACAAACCTTCTTTCTTCGTTTTGGATAGATTGGAGCGGCATTAGAACCACTGTTGGGTTTTTATAGCTGTCTGTGCCTCTGTTCGGGAGATTCCGACACTTTATTTGTGCCGCTTACCACTATC